CTTTGGTGTTTTTTAATTTATTTTTAGTTCTTCGACATATAGTAATGGTTAAATATTTCAAAATTACGGTTTAAATTTCATCAAAATCGCACGACTGTCCGTCCGTTTCTACGCAAACTTGTCTCACAGTTTTTAAGCAATCTGCATTAAACTTTACCAAAAGTTGTCTTTCTATTGCATGTAGTAAATAAGTCGGAACGAGCCGGATCGGACGACTATAGTATATAGCTCCCATAGGAACAAACGGAAAAATAATAGTAATAGTTAAATATTTCAACATTACGGTTTCAATTTCATCAAAATCTGAGGACTATAACATAAAGCTTCCAAGAAAACAATAAATTTATTACAAAAAAAAACAACATTAAAAATGAAACTTTTCTGTTTTGTTGTTTTTTTTTATACCCTTGCAGAGGGTATTATAATTTCAGTCAAAAGTTTGCAACGCAGTAAAGGAGACGTTTCCGACCCTATAAAGAATATATATTCTCGATCAGCATTACTAGGAGAGACGATCTAGCCATGTCCGCCTATTTGCATAAAACTTTCCCAAAAGTTGTCTTTCTATTGCAGGTAGTATATACGTCGGAACGAGTCGGATCGGACGACTATAGCATAAATCACCCATAGAAACAACCGGAAAAATAAATGAAAAAAATTATAACTTAGCTGTTTTGACATATAGTAATAGTTAAATATTTCAAAATTACGGTTTGAATTTCATCAAAATCTGACGACTATAACATAAAGCTTCCAAGAAAACAATACATTTATTACAAAAAAAAAAAAAAAAACAATATTAAAAGTGTAACTTTTCTATATTGTTATTTTTTTTATACCCTTGCAGAGGGTATTATAATTTCAGTCAGAAGCTTGCAATGCAGTGAAGGAGACGTTTCTCGATCAGCATCACTAGGAGATCTAGCCATGTCCGTCTGTCCGTCCGTTTCTACGCAAACTAGTATTTCAGTTTTAAAGCTATCTGCATAAAACTTTCCCAAAAGTTGTCTTTCTATTGCAGGAAGTATATAAGTCGGAAATTCTTTTTGACTTACTAATAAGTTGACAGTTCGAAATTACGCTTTTAATTGTATTAAAATCGGAAAACGATATCATATAGCTGCCATGAACCAAATCATAATAGCTTCAAAGTTTTAAATGATAATTTTAATGTTTTCAAGAATATTATATTTTTGCAATATCTGCAAGGGTATATAAACTTCAGCTTGCCAAAGCTTGTTCTATTTTAAATTTTGTGCGTGATTCAACTGTTTGTTATCAGTGTGCAAACTTTTCACAATTGTGTTTGGGACCAAAGTTGCCAAAGACAATGAAAAAGATCCCAATACAACACGCTTTGCACAATAAGTACATAAAATTAAGGTGTAATAAGAACAAAAATACTTTAAAACTAAATTTAGCTAATTTACACTTCTAACCATATGAGAACAAACCGAAAAGCACTTGCTAAAAATAAGTCCTAAGAAAATAATTATTAATTTTCGTACCATGACAACCCTTGCTTTGTTTCTGTATAATTCGTTCGGAAACTAGAACAGGGGCGTCGGATTTCCAAAACTTCAGTAGGTTATAATCGAAGCCATTCTGAGGTGCCTACACAAAATAATTTTTTAAAAGTCAAATATGTAAAAACTGGAACAGGGCTGATAATCTATCTATTCTTCCCATTTCTTTTTAGTTTCTGCATCGACCTTGCTCATTACCAGATGAATTAAAAGAGCATTAGTGATGCGTCTATCATCCCCAACAGACAGCGAGGAGTCATACAAGGCTGTGACCGTGTCGATGAGGGCTTTCAAGGCTGTAGCTAAAGGGTGCAAATTAAAAAGTGTCGATGTGTTGTTAAAAAAAAGACAATCATTATCGTACACTGGCTTCAGGCTAGTGCTCATAGCGTGCTCAATAAAAGTCAAAGAGCAGATGAATGACGATTTCGAAAAGTGAATTTTAAGGAATTATTGACAGTTTTTAATTTCCTTAAAAAACTAAAACAATATCAAAGGCTTTTTAAGTCTCATTTAACACCGAGAAAAAAACCGTTCTCAACAGTCTCGATTAGAGTATTTCCGTGCTCAATAGTGAGCCAAGAACGGAATTACTAAAATCAAGAAGTCGTTTTCTAAGATCAAGACTGCTTTTTTAAGACTGAACATACTCGATTTCAGAATATGTCTTTTTGGCTTCGAGAGTAATTCGCTCTCAAAATCAAAAATGATTTACTCTTGAAAACGAGAGCGCCTATACTTGGACTCAAGAACCTATTCGTTCTCAGAACCAAGAAGACCTCTTCTTAAAACTAGAATAATCAGTCTTAAAAAACATTTTCGATTTGAGAATAAGTCTTCTTGGCTTCGAGAGTAAACCGTTCTTACCTATTCGTTCTCAAAACAAAGAAGACTTATTCTCAAATCCAGGATTTTCAGTCTTAAAAAAGCATTCTCGATCTATGAAAATGTTTTTTTGATTTCAGTAAATCCGTTCTTGGCTCTATTGAGCACGGAAATACTCTTATCGAAACTGTTGAGAACGGTTTTTTGTTCAGTAAAAATCCCAAAATTTTTTTTAAAATTTTTGTTTTTGTTTTATTTTTTTTCTTATATTTGTTTTTTTATACATCTTTATTCGAACTTAAATTTCTAAATATATTTTGCTGACAAGGAAGCCTTAAGGACTTTTAACTTAACAAATGACTTACTTTTAAATGTGAAATTAGGTTGTTCGGTATTGAAAATGATTTATAGCATCAAAAACAGGTATACATGATAACTTAGTCTTTATTCAAAAAATCAAAGAGGTTTTGCAATCGTTAAGTTCGTATCCCAGCCCAGGATTCTCAATTATTTCAAATAGAAAAAAAAATGTTTGCCTAAGCAAAATTTAAACTAACAAGAAACGAAGCAAACTTCGGCAAGCCGAAGTTCATATATCCTTGCAGCTATTGCAAAAATTAAATATTCTTGAAAACATTAAAATTATGATAGACTTGCGTATATGTTTAAAAATATTGAAGCTATGGTGATTTGCAACTCAATTATTCGATAGTTCCTATGGCAGCTTTATAATATCGTTTTCCGATTTTATTAAAATTAACAGCGTTATTCTGAACTAATGCGTCTCCAGCTAAACACGAAATTAAATGATTGAATTTTTCAATATCGTGTAAAGTGTCGTTTTTGCCAACGAACGTTTTAAAAGTGTTAAACAATTTTTAAATTTGTAGTGATTTCCGCTATATATTGGAAAAGCGACGCTCGGCAGTCGGCATTGAGGCAAGCGAATTGCCGGCGGAGCGAATTTCTCGATATTATTTCGTTTGAATTTGTCAATACAGCCTTCTCTTCCAACTCTTCGCGGTATACGTATTTTGTATTTTTCACTTCTTTTCGGTTTTGCAAAAGTGAAGCATTTTCAATGTGTTTATTTAGAATTTCAAATCGACACTCAAACTCAACCGGATTCACAGATCTTTTCAGAGGCGATACGTTCGGCTAATACTTTTAACGCAAACAACTTGTTGGTGTTAAGCTCTTCGATATCGTTGGTTGCAATTGCGTTTATTTGTATTTATTTTTGTTAGTATCGAAGAGGTGTTAAATATTTATTTTTATTAATACTATTTTATTGTTTAATAATCTAAATAAAAACCATCGAGTAATATGCCGAACGCACGCAGTGTAGGGAAACTAAGTGCCAAGACAAGTACAGCAAAAAAATCTAAATAGGGTTTTTATATTTCAAGCGAACCGAAAAAACTAACAAACGTTTAAGCATACCAAAAATTGCACTGCTCCATCGTTCGAAAACGAAAACGACCAAAGATAACTCGAAATAGCGGCAGCGGTGTCGGTAGGCGAGTGTATGTGTACGCTGCTAGCATCTATACTCCTAGGCAAATGCTAACGGATACACTGACCGACAACTAAGGTCAATGAATATATAAGCCTGATCCCGAAAAGCGCTGATAGTGAAAAGCGCGGGAAAATGTTCAGACAAACTGCGACGGAGTTTTTTTTTCCGCTAATTTTTGAGAGTTACTCATTTCACAATTTTCACTTTTGTTCAGCTTATTTTATACCCTAAATTGGTGCTTGTGTGTTTTTGTTTAGTAATTGTTTTAATTTTTCACCGAAAAAAATTGGTAAAAAATCGCGAACTCTACTGCGATTACGTCGGGGTCACCATATAAAAGTTAAGGCCAGACATGGCCGGGGGGTACGAAGCTCCCCTATACTACCTTATCGTGTTGTTTATCAGCTGCATCTCACTTGATCACACGTCCTCTTTAGTACTCAAGGAAGGCAACAACTTTACTTTTTTGATTACGTTATTTTTATAATCTAATATTCAGTCCGCACGGTACTACGGTGGTTACAGAAGTGAGCTCTTAACCAACTCCGGTCCTCCGGCGTCAGCATGCCGTTGGCAGACGCGGAAGTACCGTAGCCGACGGCAGCGGTTTTGGTTGGTCCGCTTGTTGCGCTCCGGATGTGAGCGCTGCATTTTATCTAGCGCAGTGGTAGGGGCGGCGGCTGTTGAGCTGAGGCAGCTAGCGGGCGGTCAACGGTCTTTCGCTTGCTTGTTGCTGCCGTTGCTCTTCTGTCGCTGACGTTCTGGCGCTGCCGCTGTCGTTCTCACGCTGCCGCTGTCGTTCTGTCTCCATCGTCGCGTCGCTGCCGCTGCATCGCTGCTGTTGCATCTCTGCCGCTGTTTAGCTGCTGCTGCCGCCGTCGCTATTGCTGGTTCTGCCGCTGTCGCTATTGCTGGTGCTGCCGCTGTCGCTATTGCTGGTGCTGCCGCTGTCGTTATTGCTGGTGCTGCCGCTGTAGCTCTTGTGGCCCAGCGGCCGGGTCATTGCAGCCACTTGAGTTGGTGTCGTCTTCATGTGACCACTTGAGCGTAATGTTGTCGCTGTGTGGCCACTCGAATTGAATGTGTACGATGTGGGTGGCTGAGGGGTTGAATGCGATGGGTCGTCGTCGGGTATCGTGGATGTTGAGAGGGGGTGAAGGGAAGGGGGCGCTAGCCGGTGTTAACTCCTCCCCACCACAAGATCTGTGTCCCACAGATCCTTAAGCCTTTGTCGGTTCGAGGTTCGCAGGTGGGGGTCGCAGCCTTGGGATCCCTTTGGTTGATGTTATCTTCCTCCAAACAAGGTAGATTGCTATTATGATGGATACTGTTATAATTATTTCTGCGGAGAAGGATATTAAAATTTTATTAGACATAGTTGATAATTTTTTTAGGTTCTCCACGCTGAAGTCATGCACGTATTTCAGTGATAGTTCGTAACCCGTTGTCGTTATTTGAGTCAAGACCGCTGGCATTGCCATCAAGTGCGTTGACGAATAACTGCTGAAATTCCGGTCACCGATTGTGACCGTTTCGTTGTCAAATTGTACGACGTAAGAGCCTTCCAGGTGGTGTTCTTTTGTTGGAGTGGATATTGTGCCATTGAAGTTCGTCAGGAAGATTGTGCCGTCATCGATGAGTTCCACCGTTTGTTGGTTTGTCCTAAGATAGTCGCATGCAGCTTGACCTCCTTTAAGAAGTCTTGGAATACAGCTATCCTTTTCTCGGCAGACAGTTGTATTGCCGATGGATACGCAATTCCCAAGAAGGGCGTATGTTTCCACCTTATTCATGGCCAGTTTGTTGTACTTCAGCACAACCTGTTTGCCGTCGGATACCGTTGGGTAAATTAGCATCAGTCGGTATTTTTGGTCCATCACCTTGGGCATTGTCAAGATATACAATAATGTAGTTCCATTCGTGAGGATTGTTGGTCGGGAAAATTCAACGGCTTCGACCACGTTCTGATAAGGAAGGCTTTCTACCTCTGTCAAAATTTCGTCTATTTCCTCGTGGTCCAATAGATTCGTGTTGACCACGTCAGTCTTTGCCAGTTGGCAGGCTCTTAGTATTTCACTGACTTGGTCCGCTATTATTATTGCCTTGTGGAGTACGGCGGTTGTGACATGGAAATCGTCGTCTATTGCGTTGACTCTTCCGATGACGTCGTTTAATCTCTGGAGTGATTCGTGTGTCGAGTCAAAGAGTTTGGTATTTATCCGGATCTGCTGGTTATTGTTCCTGGTTATGTCGTCTTCTGTTTTTAAGATCGCGTTCCAGTCAGACCTATCAGGTGACCCTGCTACCCATTTTCAGGCTGATCCTAGCCAGTCGATTGATCGTGGCCTCCGTGCTGGTGTGCCATCCATGCGTGAGATGCCCTCTGATGCGTGTTGCAGGTAGTGGAAGACCAAAGCATTGATCCGTTGGTCGGTGATTATCGTAGCTTCGTTGGTTGTTTGGTCGATGACTTGCTTAATGCGGCCTAGATCGATAATATGGGCCAGCTTAAAAACACCGTTGGTTCGCCAGACGGTACCCTGTTGTAAGGGGACAACTGGTGCGTCATATTTGAAAATACGAAGTGCGGTCGCTACGTAGAGCGTGGACACGCTTGTAGTGCCGAAAAAAAAGGGTAATAAATTCTTATAGTTAGGTGATTAATAGTTCTTAGTCTAGATATTTCGTGTAGGTGTTGTTTGTGTTGTTTCTTAATTTTTGGTCTTAATTTTTGGTATTAAGCTAAGTTTATATTATTTTGAAAGTTTTATATTCGATATTGTTTAATTTCATTACTTTAATTTAGGTTCTCTTATTTGTTTTTTAATTTAGTTTATTTTAGTTTATATGCTCAGGTTTGATATTGTTTTAGTTCAGTGTGTTTCTCTGTTAGGTTTTTTTGTGTTTTTTGTTTTTAGGTTTGTTAATTTTTTTGTGTTTAAGTTTGTTTTTGTTGTGAATTTTGTGTTAAGTCTGTTAGTGTTGTAAAAAAATTTTCCTGTGTTTTTCTTATCGGTCTAGATTGGTTTTGTGTTTTTATTGTGTTTCTCTTATTTTTATATGTCTTAATTTTTTTGTGTTCTAGTTTGGTTTCCTTTATTTTATATGTTTAGATTAATTTTGTTTTTTTTTTTTTATATGTTTTTTTTATGTTAGCGTTTGATGGTATTTTGGTGTGGTTATTTTGTAATTATTTTTGAGCTTGTGAAACGTTAAATACACTTTTCCCTTTTATTATTGAAGTGACATTTAAAAGTTGTAAAATTTCAGGGATATCCTGTTACCAGCCTATTGCTAACGGCGGGGGTGCTATTAGTGAGCGTGAAAAATGATTGTATTTATTGCCCATAAATTAACTTCTCAAGTGAGACTTATGGAAAATTTTTCCCGAAGATGGATTGCGGACTTTGATTGCAGTGGAAAAAGTTTGGCGAATTTGGAAAATTTATCAATGCAGCTTAAAAAAATTTTTTTCTCTAGTGTAAAAACGTCTATGTGAAGAATTTCGCAAGGGTAATTGGGGATAGGCGTAGGTTGGAGTGTTGGTTTATTTGGGTGTGTATCGTACTTGTGTAATTTACAAGTAGTGCAAGTAGAAACTTGTGTTCTAATGATACTAGACATCTTAGGAAAATAATATTTCTCCAGGATTTGAATACGGACTTCCCTCGAACTTCTATGGGCTCTATGGTGCTCTTTTTCTATGATCTCACAAATTTCTTCTTCTTCTGTCACATCTTTTACTAAGCGTTGCGTTATACGAATCTTGTATAGCTTGAAATTTTGGTGACAGCAAGTTTGAAGAAGCTGCAGGTAAGTGTCCGAAATTTTAATTCCATTGATTATTGAGGGCTTTAAATATTTATTAAGAGAATCTATCAAGTCTGATGGGTTGTGGTCTTTAATAGGGATTATGTGGCGCTCATAACTGGGGTACGGGTACTCGCATGAGTAATCGGACACATCTGAATAAAAAATTAATTGGTTTCGATAAGCATTAATCGGGGTTTCAACATGAGGAATTAGACGGGAAGCGTCTTCTAGAGCGCTATGAATTGTTGCGATTGAATCTGTCTCGGAGGCGGTGTCATTACCCAAGTGATTTACGTACGTCGTGACGCGTGAAAGAGCATCGGCTACTATATTGGATTTCCCTGGTTTGTAAATTAGTTCGCAATTGTATTCTTCAATGCGGGACTTCCAACGTTTTAATTTGGCGTTAAAATTCCTATTGCCCAGAGCAAATGTTAATGGTTGGTGATCGGTGTAAATCTTAATAGACCCAGCACCATACAAATATGATCGAAGGTTGTCTAAGGCCCATACTATCGCCAACATTTCTTTTTCGTTTGTGGCGTAATTCTCTTCTGATTTACTTAATGATCGGGAGATATAAGCAATTGGCCGATCTTTGTTAGAGTCTACCTGGGAAAGGACTGCACCAATGGCATAGTTTGATGCGTCTGTGGTTAGGTGAAAAGGTTTCGAGAAGTTGGGGAACGCTAGAACTTCTGAGGACGCTAGAATGGTTTTTAAATCATTAAAGGATTTTAAAGCCTGCTCATCTAGTTCAATGGGAACTTTTTTTGACTGAGATGATTTAACCCTCGCAAACTCCCCTCGAGTTAGATTGGTAAGTGGTTTTGCAACTTTCGCGTAATCTTTAATGAATTTCCTATAATATGATGTCATACCCAGGAAGCTTTTCAATTCTTTTACATTGGTGGGTGGTTTCATTTTTGTGACCCCCTCTACCTTTTTCTCGTCCGCTCTGATGCCATCTGCGGTCACTACATACCCTAGAAATTCAACGTGTGTCGAGAGAAAATTAGTTTTTTCCAAGTTGACCTGGAGTCTAGCCTTCTTCAGATTGTCGAAGACAGCTCGAAGGTTTTTCCAGTGGCTATCATAGTCTTCACTGAAGACTATTATGTCATCGATATACACGTAGCATATCTTGCCAATGTGCTCCCTTAGTACGTCGTCGATCATCCTCTGAAATACCGCGGGGCCGTTTTTTAGTCCAAAAGGAAGACGAAGAAACTCGTACTTGCCGTTTAAAGTTGAAAATGCGGTTTTCGGGGTATCAGATTCCAGCATGTGGATTTGGTGGAATCCCGATGTCAAGTCGAGGGTGGTAAAATATTTTGCTTTACCCAGGCTTGCTAGTATGGAATTAATATCTGGTATTGGATAAGAATCTGCAATTGTGATGGCATTTAAGCGCTTGAAGTCGATGACCATGCGGTATTGTTTTTCTCCGTTCGGCTTAGGTTTTTTCGGTACTACCCAAACCGGGGAGTTATATGGGTTTTTTGATGGTTTAATGATCCCATCCCGCAAGAGTTCTTCAATTTGTCTATCCACTTCCCCTCTCATGTTTGTAGGGTAGGGATAGCTTTTTGTGTATATAGGGTCTGAGGTGCTAGTGCGAATCTCAGCCCTGATGCTCGTGTCCACGGCCTCTCCGGGCGAGAGTGGCTCGAATATCCTAGAATATTCGCGAATGAGAGCATTTAACGCACCCTAGCAAGCTCAGGGTGCGTTGCGTCTAATAAAGGGTGTACATTTTTTGAATTTTTTGCCAGGAGGGGTATCTTAATATTGGGTGTTATTGTCAACAGGTCATTTTTCCTGTCGATCAGGGCTTTTAGGGCTTTCAATGTGTCGTCCCCTATAATGCCGTCGAAAGATTTTAGACCCGGGAGTACAAAAAAGGTGAGAACAGTGTTGTTCCCCATTGGCTTAAAAAATTGTCCTGTGATACAGTGTGTGATTTTTATGTTATATCCCCCAGCGGATTGTACAGAAAAAGGCGTTAAAAGTGTTTTTGAACCGGCGGAGTTTTTGGGGCTAATAAAATTATTGTTAGCGCCGGTGTCTATCAGGAATTGCAATTTCACCCCATCCCTGGTCTCGTATTCTATGTATGGTACGCTTGAGGGGCATCGGTCATAAAATTTTGACCCTCTTTGTTGATGGGTCCTAATTCCTCCATATGAGAATCTGGTTCTATTCCCTGAGATGAGTCCTCAAATTTGCCTGTGTTATCTTGGTTGTCATTACGATTGTAATAGAGGTCATCTTGTGATTCCTGATGATATTCGGTCGGGGCGAGGTACGTTGGTGGTGCAGACGTAATGTGGTAAAGCTTTTGGGCCTTACGGAATGGGTTTAAATTGAAGTTGGCACTTGGGCTTCGTTTGATGTCACCTGCCTCTCCCTGGCGCGAGTTGAAGCTGCCCCTATAGGTTTGGCCTGATTGGTTAGGCTCGTGCTTAATTGCCGATCTGGCCCCCTGAAACCTGGGTGATCCGCGGCTGTTTCCACTTTGGGCGTAATTGTACGCGGAGCCAGTTTGCACCCTATGGCTGAATTGATGGGTTGGGGGAACTCTTTGTGAATTTGGTGGTCGGTAATTCTGATAACTTTGGTAATTAGTGTTGGGAATTTGCCTGAATGTTGGGACGCTTGCTGGGAGGTTCCTTGATTGCATTTTTTTCAACTCTAAGCTAATGGAGTATGCTTCATGAACGTCCCCGGGCTTGCGTACAACTAGCAACCTAGAAGCGTCGCCCCTCAACCCCCTTATAAATGCGTTCAATGCCTTGTCTCTTTGACCCGCAAGGAGGGCATTCGTGGTTTCTACGGAATAATTCATACCCTTTATGCGATTCATAATGAGCGAAACGTGATTGTTTACTCGTAAGTAAAAATCCTCTAACTTTTGGTTGCCCTGGGTCATTTGCGTTAATTCGTATTCTAACGTACCGAAATCTCGTTTATCCGCGTACCGTAGAGCTAAAATGCGTTTGATTTCCGGCCAGTCGTCATCTCGTACGCTGTACGCGTTGAGCGCTGAGTCGGCGTTACCCCTGATTTTTTGCCTGATCTGAATGAGAACA